TTTTACTTAATGGCATGGGTCTAGATGTGAAGGTGGCTAGAATTCAGTATTAAAATTCTGGGAGGTTCTTTTCTTTTATGTTCTCTGGGCTCTTGGTTATTGTCTCTGTGGAAGGTGTATACTGTGATGGTTGGTATTTTTTCTTTTCAACTTCACTTTGGATGGATACAATGTGTTTTGTATGCCAGAATATAATACCTTTTTCTCCCTGAACTGGCAGGAGACTCTGTATTACAGAAATAGAAAAGAATGACAGCATGGTATGTCTACACTGTGTGCATTTTTCAATCCTCTAAAACGCTAGTCTTGGAGAGACAGGAAACTTCTTGCCACTGAAATGATATTCTGTAACTTGTATTTGTCTTCTGAATTACAGGAGCCACCCCAGTAGTCTTTGTACTGTGTGCAAGAATGCTCAGTCCCTTTCCAGGATATGTAATTTGGAAGGATTACAAGAGAGATGCAAAACAATGTTTCATATTCCCCAAGATCTATTTTTCTGGCAATAGATTTTATATTTGTACCAGGCCCTGCAGTACATATTACTGTTCAGATTTAGGATGTCAAATATTTCCTAGATCTGATCCACATTTTTGTTTTGTTTTTATTTTTAATTTACTGGTGTGACTGTACTTTGAAGTCACTATAACTTAATATACTGCTACAAATCTATCGCAATGAAGTTGCACTGTATAGTTCTTCTTTTTCCTATATTAGTATAAATGCTATTTTATCTTAAAGTGTGTTGTATGCAGGCGTAGTCTATGTAATGTCAGTATTACATGCAGCTAGAGTGTTTATCACTCTACCCTAGGAAAGCTGCAGTTTATTTCCATGACTACATGAAAGATCTGAATGAGATCCATAATGCCCCACTTCAGTTCCCACGCTGGAAGGTGCTCACCTGTCCCAGTGAGACTTGTTACTGAAAGCATGGTTATGCAAACTTAAGAGTTTTGGTACTGATGCTTCTGTCTCATAAAGTAGAAGGGAAAAAAGGAGCACTTTGTGGTCTGAGCTTGGTAAGGAACAGTTCAAATATGCAGTTTAGAATATTCCCTGTATGAGTTTACTTTAAATCTGTTTCTACAATCAGTAGCTCCAGGAGGTTGTTACCTTGCATAAACCAGAGGTTTTTTCTATTTTGCATATAAAAAATAGTTATCTGTCAAATTCACTGTCTCCTGCCAGTTACTATAGATGATGTACTTAATTATGGTTGCAAATGATCATCTCTGTGGCTTGCTGTACCAGAGCTATTCCTTCTCTTGCTGATTATCGTATGTCACACTTGTACTGTAGTATGCACCTGATGACTACAATGGCCTTATTCAGCTGAGCGATCAAGCAAGGAGTGTGTTACAAGCACCGAAAGAGTGGGTCTGTTTGTAATTCTTTGTAACTTCTGAAGAAGGTAAGATCATCCAGCAAAAGCTGCTTCTCCAGTGTTGAATGGGAAGGGAAAGAAGGGCTTAGTGGTAAAGTTCTTGTTTATGACTTATTCCCCTTCTTAGCTTGCATTGGGATTCTTGCTTTAATCTTTCTGCTTTTGTCCTGTCAAAAAAATCAACTAACCTAAGGAAATAGGCCAATTGTGATCTGTAGGTGATGGGATAGTAGTGGTGGAGGTAGTGTGATCGCCTTGTTCTGCGTAGATGATGTGTTTAAATTTACGGAAGGATTTATTAGTCCTTGATCTGTATGTGAATCTTTCTGTACAATATTTTTAGCGTAGCAGATGCTGACTTTTTTTTTTTTTCTGGATAGGGCTACAAAGCACGCACAAGTATGCATGTGAAAAGCCCTCAAACCGCTGACTTTCTTTCCTGTATCATACAGCCTCTGTTTCTTGGTCTCTCTGATACAATGTAAACTGTTACATTCTTTTCTTTTGGGAGAAGCTTCTTTGGTGTAGTGGCTTTCTAATGCAACTGACTAAATTTGCTAATGGAAGTTTCCCTGCTTTTTTGGTACTAATGCATAATTAAAAAAAAAAATAGTATGAAAATTCTCAAAAGAGAATCTGGAGTTTATGATGTGTCAGTACTATTCTACTCAAAATGGTACTGACCAGTTACTACTTATGTTTTTAAGGAAAAAAAAAAAAAATCCAAAACCAAACTCCCCCCCCCCCCCCGAAAAAAACCAAACATCAAATACCAACAAGAACAAGACAAAACAACAACAAAAAAAAACACACAAAACTTTGAGTACAAAAAAATGACAATTAGATATTGGGCCTTGATAGAGTTATCTTCATATACTCACCATCACTTCTGCTTTTTTCAAATGAGTTGTTCTCTCATGGTACTATTAGATGTGTTAGGGAGAAGATACTGAGGCTGCATAAACTGGTGACATACAGAACACCCATTATCACTCTGAGATTTTCTATGTTTATGTGACCTTGGGCAATCTGTTTGGCACTCTTGTTTTACTCAGAGCAACTGGAAAATAAATCGGTAGCATAGCAGGTTGTACACTGCATGAGATGAAAACAATCTTTGACTAGAAAACAATTCATGGAGTAGTTCATCCTGAATTCTAAGCAGTCCTCAGTAGTATCACACAGGGCTTTATTTTACTTTAAGTATGTTGCTTGCAGAACATGTAGGCTTCTCTCCTAACTTTCTATGGAACTCTTATGATGTGAATTTCCAAATCCTGATATTGGTTTTACACCAATGTTCATATTTGAACTACTTTTTAAAGCTCTCCTCTGTGCCTACAGGTCCAAATGTGCTCCATATTTGTTTTCAGCTGACTCTAAACTGCAATATTTAACTTATGTCCAGGACTGATGGTAAATGACTCAATATGGATTAACAGCAAAGAGCTGGTTGAAAGCAGACCATATTTTAGCTCGGATTTATGGCTCAACCCAAACTGTGTGCAACTTTCTTACTGAGCACAGTGTTATCCTGAAATAAACCAAGATTAATTCCAAACCTGAACTAGGCTTCAGGCATGGTGTGTTTTACATCTGAATTTCTTTCTGCATGCTATTTCCTGATTAACTTTGGTTCTGTGAGAAGAAATTATAGGAAATCTGTACTGTCTTATACCTGCTTTTAGTTTCTGAAGTGGACTGTTGCTTATATCTTAAGAATACTTCTAATGCCTGACAAGTGTTTGGGTGGCATGTACTTGCTTTATTTTCTTATCTTTGGATGTAAAGCTGCTCAGAAAGTGCTATGGGGGGTAATAACTAAGAAGTCTGATATTTCTTTGCAGTATACCTGGCATGCATATATTCTATAAAAAGTTTAACCCTTAAATTTTTTAACCTTTTATAAACTCATGAAGACATATGTCACATGAACTTAACTTGGTTTGGGTTATTACGCATAAAACTGTTTGTTTTTTCAGTATGTGTTTTGTTTGGTGCTGATTTCTCCAGCAAACTAACCTTGTATTCTGAACTTCTGATCCTTCAACCTTTGGGTTTGAAACTTCAGAGATCTATTTCTATCCAAATAGGGTTTCCAAACTTAACTTGGAAGGAGTTCCAGCATGTTATAAGAAATAGCTGCCTACACTGGTGCCATAGGGTAGATGGATGTCTTCTTTAAACTCAAAATTTTGGAACTGTCTTTTAAGAATTCATGAGGGCAAATGCACTTCAAAGTAAATCAACTCCAAATACTAAATAATCTCTTGCTATCCTGCTTTTTTCCTAGTCTTGTTAAAATTACAGCAAAGACCTATTTAATTCAGTTGGTCTGCACCAAAATTTACTTTGTTTTGTGGAACAATTACTCTTGTACTCTATACCTGTGTTAAGTTACATAATCATAGAATAGAATCATAGAATAGTTAGGGTTGGAAAGGACCTTAAGATCATCTAGTTCCAACCCCCTTGCACAAGTCCAGGTAGATGACATCAGCTGCTCTACCCCTGTCCATCAGTTCCGTAGCCCCATCATAGAAGGCCACCAAATTGGGCAGGCAGGATTTCCCCTTAGTGAAGCCATGCTGGCTGTCACCAAGCACCTTGTTGTTTTCCATGTGCCTTAGCATGCCTTCCAGGAGAATCTGCTCCAAGGTTTTGCCAGGCACAGAGGTGAGACTGACTGGTCTGTAATTCCCCGGGTCATCCATTTTCCCCTTCTTGAAAATGGGGGTTATATTTCCCTTTTTCCAGTCATCGGGAACTTCACCTGACTGCCATGATTTCTCAAATATGATGGCCAGCGGCTTAGCAGCTTCATTTGCCAGCTCTTTCAGGACCCGTGGATGGATCTCATCAGGACCCATAGACTTGTGCATGTTCAGGTTTTTAAGATGGTCTCGAACCAGATCCTCTCCTACAGTGGGCCTGAGGTCTTCATTCTCACAGTCCCTGCATCTGCATTCCAATACTTGGGTGGTTTGGTCAGAGCCTTTGCCAGTGAAGACTGAGGCAAAGAAGTCATTCAGAACCTCAGCCTTCTCCAAATCCAGGGTAGCCAGTTCTCCCAAGAGCTTCCTGAGGGGGCCTGTGTTTTCCCTAGTCTGTTTTTTATTTGCTATGTACCTGTAGAATCCCTTCCTGTTATCCTTAACATCCCTAGCCAAGTTTAATTCTAACTGGGCCTTAGCTTTCCTAACCTGGTCCCTAGCTTCCCGGACAACATCCCTGTACTCTTCCCAGGCCGCCTGTCCTTGCTTCCACTTTTTATAAGCCTCTTTTTTCATTTCTTTCTCCATTTACTCTTTATTAACATGAAGTCCTTATTTTCTTATCAACCATTAATCTGAATTATTTTTCTAGCAAAATCTTTGCATGGAATTAAGTCTACAACATTGTGGTCAGCACAGCAGCAGAGTAAGAGCTGTTGCTGTTTGCCAAACTGAAAGTGGAATTCTTTGGTCCCTTCTTCCCATTCTCACATCCGCAATCTTTATGCAATAGACACAGCAGTGGAGTGAACCAGATGCACAGCATTAACAACTGCATTTCCAGGTGTGGTCTCTGGTCTTAATAGGTTTTATTCTTTTGTGTTCTTGTACCACTGCAGCTCCACCCAGATTCCATCCTCATGCTTCACGACTTTAGTGGCCAGCCCAGAGCAGAGGCACTCGTGAATTTTCCAAGCCTGGATCTAGCTACGAAAGCAGTAGCTGAGAAGAAAGGACAGCTTCTGGGAAGCCACTATGTAGAACTGTTTCTGGTCTAATTAAACACTTTTTTGGGGATATAAAAAGAATGTCACGCTAAACACTGTGCCTTTTGCAAAATAAGTTTTCCCTAGCCACCCAGGCAGCACCAAATATGCCTTTTCAGCATAACAGAGTGGGGTTTGTCCTGTGTTTAATTTGAAAAATGGCTTATCCTATGCCAAAGATAAAAGTGAAACAAAAAATCATGCAGTTAATTTACTTAAATTCTTATGTGCTTATGTGAAAATAAGTAAACCCATTCTTGGCATCTAGTTAATTCTGAAGACAATCTAATAGCACTTCAGCTACTGTAGCTGTGAGAGAAACCTGTTTGGTAACATTTGAAGTGGAAAGCGAAGCTTGAGTCGTTCAGATACTTCTGTGTGTAGTTTTTGAGCTTAAACTTGATAAAGTGTCTGGGTTTTGTAGAGTTTAAATGTCTCTAGAAAGTTTTTTTGGAGTGCACAGCTTTCCCAGTTTGAAGCCTAGATCATACTGATTTGTTATTGACTGAAAAATACCAGGATGCTGGACCCCAAATGCAATTGTGCTTTCTTATGTTTCAATTAGATATTGTTTTGCAAAAGCCATATTTGTCTTGCCAATGTACTGCTGCCAATGTGTTAAGCAAGAAAATAAACTCACTAAAAGCAGGAAAGTCCTTCCTGCTCACCCACAAATCCCTGCCCCAGCCCCAGAATTTTTATTTCTGCAGGACAAAAATGGCACATAAACCTGAGTACTAATAAGTTATATTTTTTATTTAAGCATAACAGCTTTCAGATACTGTATTAAATATTTTGCTGTAGTTTATGTGCATGCAATTTGTTTACATCTTTGCCTACTTTATTTGTATATTATGAAACAACAAGACGTGTTGAAATCTACATCCTGTAGTGCATGCTTCCTTCTTTCTCTCTGTGTGTGTACGTACATTAGATAGAAGTACTTTTTTGTCATGTAGCATGTGTTTAAAAAAAGACATCTGCTGTAGAAGCACTAAATGACTTCAGTTTTACTGTGCCTTACTTCAAAAACCATTCCAAGTGCAATACCAGCAAAAAGCAAAATGTAATGAAACGTGTTGTGACATGTTCATGGATGTCTGAATTGATCTTTCTGTTAGTGTACGAGTTGCACTTAATGGAATGATGTATGCTTCTTTATATTACAACAAATAAAAGAGATTCTTATGATGTATACTGGCTTATGTTTTGCTTTAATATATTTTAATGCAGTATCATTGTCTGATAAATAAACTTTTACTAATTTTTCTCCTAGATTGTGGTAAGCATATGTACATTATGAGAGTGGGTTATGATTTTTTTTTTTTTTTTTACACATGCTGGTAAGCCAGAAAAAGGCATGATACATATTTCTCTTGTAGGGGAGCACTTTTTAGGCAATGTGATGTAACAACTGATCTACTAAAAGCACTTAGTCTTTTTACAGCTCTTGCATTGTTTATACGTGCTCCGCTCCTCCCTTGGCAGGTTGGGTGAGCTGAACTAGGGCTGGAATGGAGCACCTCCAGTAACACACCAGCCATGTTCACATGTACGCATTCCCCATGCTCTTTGAGCACCTTCATGCACACAGTGGTCATGGGTTAGTTTTTAAGTGCAGTCCCATGCTAACACGATCTGTAATGTATAACCCACTCCACCGTGTGCACTCTGTATCTAGCTGTCCAGTAAGAAAGAGGGCTGGCTGGCATCAACTGCAATTTAAATCCCTGTTTAGCGTGAGATGGTGGAAGCCAGTTATGGAAATTGAACATGGTTGTTTCAGTCTGTGTGTTTGGTACAAAACCTCACATGTTGGACTGGAGTAGCGTGCATATCTTACCAGTTATCTGTAAAATCAATGGCAAGGGAGGTGGTAGCAGTTTGGTTAGATCAGAGACTCTGGGAGGGTGAAGGGGGATGTCTAATCACAGGCCAGATCTGGAGACATGTTCACTCTGAGCTTTCCTGCCTATATTGAAAACTCTGCGGCCTTGCCTAAAAGAAACGTGAAAGAAAATGGTAGTAGAAGACTAAGCAATGCACACTGTTCCAATATTTAAATATATAAATAAAGGTGTCTGCCCCTCCTTGCTCTCCTCATGGGATGTGCCCGTAGCTCGTGCTGCTCTGTCCCCTCAGGGCACCACAGGGCCAAGGCAAAGGAGGCTGTGACTGCTTCCAGGTGTTTTGCCCTTTTCCCTGATGAAAAACAGCCCGTGCCAGAGTGAGCAGATGGCTGAGCCATCCTGCCCATCATGTCAGGGGCTCCTTCCACCATGTCCCAAGACCTAGTATAGAGTCATAGAATGGTTTAGGTATGAAACAACCTTAAAGCTCATCCAGTTCCAGCTCCCTGCCACAGGCAGGGACGCCTTCCACTAGGCCAGGTTGCTCCCAGCACTAAACTGGCCCTGAACACTGCCGGGGATGGGGCAGCCATAGCTTCTCTGGGCAACCTGTGCCAGGGCCTCAGCACTCTCACAGGGAAGAACTTCCTAATGTCTAACCTAAATCTTCCCTCTGTTGGTTTAGACATCTGTGTTTTCCCCATCTATTTGCACAGCTAGGCTGCATGAGCAGTCGGCATTTAAAGTTTTCTTGCACCAGGTTAAGGAGCCAACACCAGGCAATTAAGCCCACCCTTAAGAGAAGTGGTCATGTTGAGGATATTTTCAGTGTCGGAAACTTCAGGCATAGCACGTAACTTCTGGAAATTAAGGTGTGCTTACGTTTATACCTCTGCTGCACTTCTAGAAGTAGTGTCAGGTTGGAGCTGCTTACCTGCAATTTGGCAGTAGTGGCTTTATAGCTGTGAGATCATTTTCAAATCCAAGAGTGCTCCTTTACAAATGGAACATAAACACATCATGCAACTTGGAAGGATGGCTTATGTCACTGGAGAAGGCTGGGGGCTTGAGGTAAGGCCTAAATATTTTTTCTTCTCTTTGTATACATTTACACCTTGTGATTGTTTTTTTAGACTGCGCTGTGTTACAGTATCACAGTATGCTAGAGATTGGAAGGGACCTCAAAAGATCATGTAGTCCAATCCCCCTGCCGGAGCAGGAACACCTAGATAATGTTACACAGGAATGTGTCCAGGCGGGCTTTGAATGTCTCCAGGGAAGGAGACTCCACAACCTCCCTGGGCAGCCTGTTCCAGTGTTCTGTCACCCTCACTGAGAAGAAGTTTCTTCTTTCTGTTGCAGAAGCTTTATCAGAGGTATTGCTGTCTTTACATGTGTGTGATTTGATGGAATAAGAAAAAGAATTACAGAAAGTGTTAAGTTTTAATTGTTTCATCAAAGAAAAAGTGGAGTTTGGAAAATAATTGTGATTTGACTGTTACTGTTGTTAAAGAAAAGGTCCTTATGCTCTGTCATCAGCCACAAAACTTGTTTCTCCAAAAGAAGCTTATTCTGTGCTTACAAAATGCCTTACCTGCACTTCTATTGTAATACTTCTGGTAAGTAATTGAAGAGCAGAATTAACATTGTTTGTACTTTGTCTCCTGGTTTCAAGCTTCTGATAACACTAGTTTAGAGGTGACACATTTACTCATGCATTTCTGCTCCCATTCTCCTGATACTGATAGTTTTGCCTAGAAACTTTTTGTGTGTTGGTCTATTCCATACTGTGCTCCTCCCCAGTTTGGAGAGAAGATAGTTTATTTTTATTACTTTTATTTGGGATGATGTGAGACTGGAGAGTTTGAGATGGCCATTTGCTATTTTAATAGCTGCAGATGTGCTTTCAAATCAGGTGTTTTGTGCTGGAATTTATTCACCTGCAGAGAGCAGACTCCCATTAGGCAGGCTTACAAGTTTTACTTATTTTATGTGAAATAAGATATTTGCAACAAACTTTTAATAGTGAAACTCAGTTCCTGATTTACTAAGAAAAAAAAAAACGCTAATTTTTAAATAAAATTCTTTGAAAACCTTAATTTTTCAAATAGTATTTGTTTCATTTCAGTCAGTTAGAATTAAGCAAAAGGCTTGCTGCTGAGCCAGTTGAATCCTGTTCTGTATTGACCTGTGTTTGACAACATCCCTGGTAATGAGTTTTCAGTCTACCACTTAAAGTATCTTCTAAAAGGTGATTGCATCTAAAGATAACCTGAAATAATTTAAAGCAGAAAACTCTCCTGCTATGTGCGAAGATATGCCTGTAGTCAGCTTTAAATTTTGCCTTGTTATATGTGGGCGTTTTGTTGGTTGTTTTTTTTTTAAAGCAAACCCAAAATAAACCAGAGGCCTGACTTATTTTGTTTTCCTTTTTTTCTTTTAATACAGTCAGGTGAGGGCCACTGTATTATTTAGCTGGATAAGCAGTTGGAAATGCATACATACAAATAAAGATGAGATGTTAATCTAGACTTGCCCGTTGCCAGGTCTTATTTTACTTTATATACTTGGTGATTTTTAAAAAACCCAATTAGCTATTTGATGGTGCTTTCTGTGTGCTTGCTGATAATTAGAAGTATAGTTTAGATAAAATGCCTTTCTTTCTGTAAATATTACTAAAGTACTGTTATAATTTTGTCTATTTGGTGTTAGCTGTTAGCTTTGATAGACTACCTTTTGCAGTGTTTTTTTTTTTTTTGAGTAATCTTTATTTAGTGGCAGGAGTAGGAGGTTTTAGATTTGCCAGGAACATCAGTGGAGTTTTTTGGTATTTACCGCCTACACTAATCTTTGCTACCAGTAGATGTCTCCTTCCGATAACGGTTTCCAAGTACGTGCTTGAGCTAGAAATGCTTAGGGGGGCCTGAGAACTTCGTCGTTAGCATTGCAGTAAAAGCTTCTGCATGCATACAAATAAATGTCTGCAAGTAATCTTGTGTCTGTTAGTCTTAAAATTGGAGGTCATTGTATTTCCCGTAAAACAGCTGATTTTCTTTTTTTTAAATTTTGTTCTTATTTTTCTATTTTAAATGTTCTCTCCAGAGAATGGGGTTCATTGATATTTGATAGGGTTGCTTTGAAATGTACAAATGTATTTCAAATTGTGAAAATTACAGTAGTATCTGACTGCAGTTGGAAAAATAAACTTTTAAAAACTGTTGTACAAAAAGAAAATATTGAATTATCTTACAAATCCAGTAGAAATTGTTGGAGAAACCAAGCATTCTTAAGTGTGATCCAGGTGTGAACACACTATGTTAGAACACAAGAGACTAAGGAACCAAGAAATGAAAGCAGAATGACTCTTTTGTCTTCTGGCTTTAAGAAAAAAAAAAATCTATACCAATAGCATAAAGTTAGGGGTTTACAACTGATTAAAATTTGGTAGCAAAACCCTGTCTGAGCTGGACATATGTTTGATTGTGATGGCTCTCTGCTCCCAGCTGGTGGCTAGATCTGAGAGTGGTGTTCATGCTTTGCTGATTGATTTACTTGCTCTTGGCCTGGTGGTTGGTTCTTGGTTTCCTTGTGCAGTATAATGGCTTCAATATTGGCAGGCTTTCTCTCAAAGAGGTGGTAACTTGTTCAGCTCTTCATTGTGGGGGGTTGTAAACTACAGTTGGCAGAGTTCTTGTTGTTTTGAAACCTGTTTCCAGCCCACTCCAGATCCACAGCAGCTGGATATCATGGCAGGGTGGCCAGACATACAGGGACACCAGCACTTGCCCTTCTCCTGAAGCTGTCTTTGCAGAGCAGACTGAGTATACACCTTGGAGGGGTGAAGCTCAGCATGAGAAGAACTAGACATTTACTTTCCCCCTCCATCTGATGTTCTGAATCATCCTGTGTGTGTTAATTTCCCCTTGTCCTTTGGTTATGCTGAGCACCATGACCCAACAGTCTTCAGAAATTCTCTTTGTAAAGGATCTTATGGCACATTAATCACTCAAGCTAGAGTGTGTACAGGAAAAAATTTCATAAAAATGGGGAGGGGTTTTCAATGCTTAGTATTAGATCTTCTTGTGTTGCTCTAGCACTTGCTACATTTTGGGATTGTCTTGTTTGAGCAAATTCCATTAAATTAGGAATGACTAGGGGGATGGGGAGTTGTATGTCAATAGTTCTGCTATTTAAAAAATTAAACAAACACACACTGTCTCCCACAACCCTTAGCCCTCGAACACGTGAGTTGTCTTTGTAGATTTTTGTTGCTTCGAAGCATTCCGTGTACTGGGTGTCGTGAGGTTTCCCACACAGTTCAAGAATGAGTGAGGTATTTGTAACT